GGCACGTCCAGCGTACCTTCACGGGCGGGCCCCCATCTCGGCTCTCGGGGCCCAAACGTTTCAGTTTCCGAGCCGCGTCCAGCCGCGTCGACGAGGGGGGCCCCTGAAAGCCAGAAAAAACCAAACCCCGCTCTTCCCCCCGCGCCGCCGCCGCCGCCGCCGTCGTCATCGTCATCATCATCATCATCATCATCATCATCATCATCACCATCATCATCATCGTCGTCGTCGTCGTCGTCGTCGTCGTCGTCCTCCTCCTCCTCCTCCTCCTCCTCCTCCACCTCCTCCTTCTCCTCCTCCTCCTCCTCCTCCTCCTCCGTCCCATCCAGGGCACGTAGTGCCACCAACCCTGGTAGTACTCCCAGCTGTCGTACTCGGCCTTCCACTTCTTGTAGAAGGTGGACGTCTGCTCGTCGTAGCGGCACATGCCCCTGCGGGGCGCGGGCGCCCGACCCCCGCCGGGACCCCCCTTCCAGGTGATTTCTGGCCAGGGCTCCGCGGTGGATCCAGCGTCGGCGACGAGGGTTGGGGAGCCCAAAAACGTTACCACCCCGCCCTCCCCCCGGCCGCCCGCCGCCCGCCGAGACCACTCCATGGCCAGAATTCCGATGGTGACCCAGCCGCGGCGACGAGGGCTTGGAAGCTCAAAAACGCGACCACCCCGCCTTGCGCCATCCACCCCCGTCCGCCCTCTCAGGGAGGAGGGGGCGGTTATATGGGTTTTACCCTCCGCGGCGCCCGCTCCCCGGCGTCCACGACAGGCTCATGGCGGCCGACGGCCGCGGCAAGTGAGGCAGGCGCTACCGATGCCGCTACTCCGCGGACCTCGTCCGAGCGCGCGCTCTGACAAGAAAGTCGAGGCGAATCCAGCCCTGGCGGCGAGGGCGAGTAGCGGCATCGGTATTTCCCCCGCCAAGAAGCGCCGAGAAAGTTTCGAGAAACTTGAAGCCGAAGCGGCCCTCCGGAAGGAGGGGGGGAGAGGCGAGGAAGAGGGGGGGGGCGTAGAGGGATACTACCTTATCCTCACCCCGCGCATCGTTTATTTCACGCCCAGGAATGCATAATGCCCCAGAGGGCGGGGGGATCCAGGTTTTGAGTTGCAAATGATCGCAGACGAAGAGGGCGGGAATCGAGGGCTTGGGGTGCGCATGTTGGAAGGCGCGCGCGCATGTAAGAGCGAACAATCTTAAAATGATTGTTGTTGTTGTTGGTGTTCGTTGTTGTTATTTGTTTGTAACATTTCATTGTTTGAACTGTTGAATGGGGCTAGCGAGTGCGCCAGCCTTTTTGGCTAAACATATACTTCAAGATGCCCGCAATTGCCCGCGCGCGTTGGCTCCGCGCCTTTTTGGCGTATATGTTACTTGATTGGGCTCGCGCGTGTTGGCTCCGGCACATTGCAATTGCCATAGACCAACTACCTACAAAAACTGTTTACCTCACTTTTTGTATAGAGTTGGGCCCACCTGGGAGAGCGGACCAGCCCAGGGCGCAACACGCCGAGGCATGTTGCACCAGTGGAGGACAGGAGCAAACCATGGAGCGGCCCCAAGGGAGCAAGGCGGCCACTGCTCGCGCCCGCCAGGGGGGCGGCGGGAAGGGGGGGGGGGCTCAACGCGCACTTCCCGCGCCCCCCAGGCCCGCCAGAGTTCGCCTGCCCCGCCGCCCCCACGGCGGAAACCCGCGCAGCTACGACGATGGGAGAGATGGCGGCCCGTAGGCCGCGCCGTCGGCGGCGGCGGCCAGCCGCGCCCTTTGGCGCTCGTCGCCGAGGCCGTTGGCGCCGCCGCCAGGGGCGACCCTCCGCCGCAAGAAGAGCGCCGGGCGCCAATCAGCGCCAGGCGCCTGGCGCAGCGGGGCCGGAGGGGCCCGCGGCCGCAGCGCCGCGCAGCGGCGCAACCCAGTGCCGCTCGGCACCAGACCCTGCTGCCGCCACCTCCGCCGCCCGGGGGCCAGCCGCCGCCTGGGGGGGGAAGGCTGGGTGTCTATCAGCCAGCTCGAGCTAGGCACCTAGCGCAGTGGGGCCATGAGGGGCCCGCGGCTGCTGCGCCGGACAGCGCAGCCTGCGCATTCGGGCGCCTCCCCCGCTGCCGCCGCTGGGGGGGTGACCGCGAGCCCGCGCCGGGCTTTGAGCGAGCGGGGAGGAGCAGGCGCCCCGCTGCCACAGTGGCCAGCGCCCGAGGCCACAGGGGCCCAAGCGCCGGCGCCGAGACGGCGCGCGCCGCCGCCGCATCTTCAGCAAAATGTGCGCCCTCTCTTTTTTTTCCACGGGGTCCCGCGGGTCCGTTTGCCCCGCGTGCGTCGAGTGGCCCAGCAGGGCCGATCCGATATGTTTTGCGCATTATGTGAGTTGTGCTGTTTTTCGGCGCGGCAGAACGCAGGGCCTAAAGGGTGAGAGGTCAGAGAAAGAAGGAGGGATGCGCTCAAGCCTTTTTGGCACGGCAGCGTGCCGAGCCCCCTCTCGCTCGAAAGCCCGCCCGACCCGCCCCGTTCGCGCGTCGGCTCCCCGGGCGACCGCGGGGGGAGCAGGCGCTCCGCCACAACGCTGGCACAGGCGCTGGCGCCGAGACGGCGCGCACCACCGCCGCTGTCTCCAGCAAAATGTGCGCCCCCTCTCCTTCTCCGCGGGGTCCCGCGAGTCTGTTTTCCCCGCCGGCGTCGAGTGGCCCAGCACGCCGGCTCGACATGTTTTATGGTTTCTGCGAGCTATGCCGTTTAAGCGCGTTTTTTTTTGCGGTTGCGATTGCGATCACGGACCTTGCAGCGCGGCCCTTTCCTTGGCACGCATTGCTTCATGGCCATGTCTCGTGGGGCGTGCGCCTGCGTGTTCGTGTGCTCGGCTGTTGTTAGGGCAGTCCGCAGTCCGACTAATATTTTGGCTGGGCGCCTCAGTCGCCCCGGTTTGCATGCTGCACGTGTTGGGTTGGCGCCCTCTCGGCTGCCTTCCTCCACTCGCCGCTTGAATTTGTCTGTGCAGGGTTTGTGTTCACGCTGGTCTGGCCGGCTGTTGTTAGGACAGTCGGTCAATATTTTGGCTTGGTTCCGCTGTCGCCTGTGCTGCATGTTGCACGCGCGTGGGTCGGCGCCTTTGGCGGCTTCCTCCTTGTGGCTGGCCCTCACTAATTATCTGGCACTGCGCCCCATTGCCTGTGATGAACACGCCCTCTGGACTTTTCCTTGCGGGCCGCCAAAAAAAATTGCGATCGTGGACGCGCTTGCGGGTGCAATTGCAGGTGCAGCGCCCGCGGGTGGTCGACATGGTGTTCCCCAGGTGCGGTTGCGGGCGCCCCGCGGCCCCAAATGCGTTCCTTGGTTGTTAGAGCGGGCGCGGGCGGAGTTGGCCGCAGCTGCGGGCGCAGTTGAATTTCAGTGGCCCGCAGGCGGCCCTAGATGTGTTCCCCCGGTGCGGTTGCGACTGCAGGCGCCCGCGGGCGGCCAAGTTATGTTTTACTTGCGATTGCGGTTATGGGCGCGGTTGCGGGCAGAGTTGCATCACCAGTCGCCCGCGGGCGGCCCAGCTGTTGTTCCCCAGGTGCGGTGGCGGGCGCGGGCGCCAGCAGCCCCTCACGTGCTTTTTTGGTTGTTGGTGCGATCGCGGGCGCAGTTGCGGATGCACTTGCAGCTCCCGTCGCTTGCGGGCAGCCCGCATCGTGTTCCCCAGATGCGGTTGCGGGTGTGCGCGCCCGACTACAGGGTGCGGTTGCGGGCGCCCGCGGGCGGCCAAAGGTATGTTCGCCGCTTACTGGTGCGGCTTCAGATGCGGCAGCAGTTACTTTGTGTCCCTCAGTAGTTGTGGGAGTATTAGTCCGGGGAGGGTACCTGTAGCCAGGGGAAGGGTATAGTCCAGAGGGCAGTGCCAATGACCAGGGTGGGATATTAATAACACAGAAGGTGTACCAACAGTCTGGGAGGAGAGCACTTGTCGCACGGAGAGGTGGCTTGTCGCGCGAGTGCAGGTGGTCCAGGGGGTACTTGTAGTCCGGGGGGGGACCAATACTCTGGGGGGGGTTCCACCAGTCCGGGGGGGGCTACCAATAGTCTGGGGGGGGGTCAATAGTCTGGGGTGGGACCAATCGTCTGGGGGGTGATTGTAATCTGAGAGGACCCACACTCATTATGGCCACAGTTTCGACTGCAATCGCCCGCGGTCTCCCCAAAATGTGTTCCCCGAGCTGTACGTTGACGTTAGTCTGTCTGTCGGTCACTCGGCCAGTCGCGGCCGTTCACGTAATTACGGACAACAAGTGTTCCTTGGAAGGGTCCGAGATTTACATGAGCCGGCGACTCGAACAAATCAGGTCGTCGGAGATTGTTGCGCGGATATTGCAGTCAAGGTCTATAGTAACATAGTAGATATGTTGCACCGTATCAGGGCAACCCTTAAGTGCTGATTTGTTCGTCCCTTTCTTCATCCAAAGATCCATATAGATCCTAGAGGTACTTGCCCGATGTCGTTGCAATTGTTTCCACGTGGACGTTCAAGTGTCTCGCACCGTTACTTTGCAATTGCTATGTGCGCTTTCATGATTGCACAGAGTCCAGACCTGTCCACTAGTTTAGGTGAAGAGTTTATGGCCATGATTGCCACCATGCCGACGACGAGGACGATAAAGCGGTAAAATGTGTAGTTGTGTGGTCAGCGCCGATTTAGGACAGTGCTTCTTTTGAGTACAGCACGATCAGATGATGCCGATAATGTTTCTTTCGGGAGGACTCTTGTGGGCGAGATGTGTTTCAGAAGATCTGCAGCGTGTTACGACAGGTGAAAGCGAGCATGAATGGTGTCGGACATGCAATGCAACTGAGGGAGATCTCTGGTTGCGCCTTGGAAGCTCATCTTCGAAGTCAGCATAGTTCCTTCGAGGTTCGGGGGTCCATCTGCAACATCACACGAAGAGAGCATTACAAGTCAAAGTAACAACATGAACACATGCAACAAGTGTTGGGGAGCGTCGCTCCACACTGCAGTTGAGCTCCTAAGTCGGAACACTTCCCCAAAGGCTTGGCTGAATTATCAGCTCGGCCAGTTCGGCGAGGCTGGTCGACTACTCACCAAGAGTCTTCACAAGTCGGCCGCGGCCGGTACCGCTGTCGACATGGAGGAGCGGTTCGGATCTGTGGCGTTGGACATCATCGGCAAGGCTCCAGTGTCCTGGTGTGTGTCACTTTCCATTCTGCGACCGGCGTTCTATCGATACTCCACACCACAGTTGTTGTCCCTCACTACGGGCATCAGGGTTTGCAGGGCGTGGGTAAAAACATCAGTCTCCAGAAGCCAAAGTGTTGTCAATTCCTCCCCTCTGCCCCCTCATAGAGTTATGGCATGATCAGGAGTATGGGTAAGACAACGATCGCCTATCGTTGCCCCTCCTAGGTTGTAGTTGCGAGAGCGTTTCTCCTAGTTATGTCGTGTTGGTGAATGTTCATTGGTGTCGCCTATGCTCAGCTCAAATCCAAGCGATGTATGACATGTTCGCCAGCGTAGACCCTAAACGATAAGTCGTTGCACAGTGGATGTGCAAGTTGTATGATGCAAGCTAGCGATGCACGCGATGTGAGCTACGTGGTGCAAACAGTGGTGTAAGCCATGTGGCGTGAGGTACGTGGTGTAAGCCATGTGGTAAAAGCTATGCGATGCAAGCCATCTGGTGCAACGTATGTGGCGTGAGCAAAGCGGCCGCACAGCGTACGAGCCGCACACTGGCGGCAACGTGGCGAAACCTCGGCTTGCCCATCCAGCACGCGAAGCTCCCACGAGGCGCCCACTGGCGGCCACGGGCGGCAACGCGGCGGAACCTCGGCACGCCCACCCGATCACTTCAAGTCTGCGTAAGGAACCCCGAGTACAGGCAGTGGTTGGGGAGTGGATTGTGCTGCAGCTTGTGCGCAGAAATCGGTGGGAGCGCCGTTCCAACTCGCGCTGCGGGTGAAGTTCGAGCTGTTGACAGGTTACCGCGAGGATTCCATGCTGTCTTCAAGGCAGGTCCAACGGTCTCGCCCAAAGAGGGGCACCACGAGAGGATTGAGGAGGCCGCCAGACAGGCCCGTGGCAGCTAAACCACATTGGAAACCAAAGGTTGGTTCAATGTTCAGGGTTTCGCCTTCGTCTGCCCAGCATGGCCCCAGGGACCCAAGACAGCCCAAGTGTCCCCGACGAAGCCCCCAGACGGCTCAAGAGGCCCCATGAGAGCCCCCCAGACGGGCCCCAGAGTTTGCGAATATTGCCACAGAGATTCCCCAGCTAGCTCCTAGGCGGCCTGGCAGGGCCCGAAGAGGGCACCAACAGGCCCCGACGACATCAAAGGCGCACCCAACAACACAGGAGACCCCAAGAGGCAACACAGGTGGCCCGAGACGTTACAGCAGACTTCCCTGTGTCGCTGCAGTAAACACCCATTTATTGCTCTGATTGTCAAGTATCAGGTTTGCATGGTGGGAGACCCGCAATGGGTAGTTCATGGGAGAGCGCAGACCTGCGTATCCAGGGCGGCACGGGGCCGCGTGAACGTAAGCGTACAGGTGTGTGCTAGACCATGTCTATGCTTATTCGTTCTTCGATTCAAATCGAGCAGCAGGGCCCCCATAGAACGCAAGGCGCATGCATGATGGGAGAAAGCAGTCGGCCAGTTGCGTGCGTTCACCGAGCGACCCAGACAGATTAGGCCGATCGGGGGTTTGGGATAAAAGCGGCCTGGGATTAGCCATGGCGTGTCCCAACATGTTGGGCAGACGTGGGAGGGGGATCTGTGTGGGGGGGAGGATGGCCGGCGGACGAGGACCATAGATGATATTTATTGGGCGTTTGTCCAGAGGTTTGCTTGCCCCAGCTAACGCAGTCAGCAATGTTTGCACTTGTGCGATATACCGTTCGATGCCGTTGTCATGTGGTTATCACATTCCTTGTCCGGTTCGCCCCGCTTTTCGAATTTCTCAGCATGCCTCATTATTGGCATCGTATTCCTCCTCTTCCTCCTCCTCCTCCGCTTCCTACTCCTCCTCATCATCAGCATCATCATCATCATCATCATCATCATCAGCATCATCATCATCAGCATCATCATCATCACCATCATCAGCATCATCATCATCATCATCTCTCGCATTCTCCCCGCATCCTCATCCTCCTGCCAGCTGATCCGTCCTCTGCTTCGTTCTCTGGCTCCCCCTTCTCCGCCCCATCCTCATGTCCCACTCAGCTCCTGCGACCACTGGCCCCGGGCATCCCCACGGAGCGACAGGCGGTGTTCAACTACGAGTTCGGCTCGACCGAAAAGGAAAGCCCAGTGGTGAAGGCGGCCATCCAGTCGCTCCGCGAGGTCGAGCACCGTGCCCAGACGCCGTTCCAGTACTGGAAGCTCCCTCTTATGGACGCCGGGCTGTCTCGGTGGGCGAGGCGGCTATCCACCAGCCGCCATTTGCCGGGCCAGGCCAGCCCTGGACCCAAGACTGGTGCGCACGCCTGCCCGGCCAGGCCAGGACGGAGCGTGCACCGATCTCGGGCCCAGGATCGGGTGATCGCTGCATGTGGTCGGCGTCGAAGACGAACAAACGCCATGAACATCCTCTTTCGGCGCTCCGCGCGGATTTCTCGGATCCGCGCCCTGGCGCGAGGCCCAGCGCAAATCCAAGAAGTCCGCGCGGAGCGCCAAAAGTTTATGTTTATGACGTTGGTTCTTCTTCGCCCTCCTCTAACTGATGGACGTCCAACTGGGGGTACGGGCGGAGGAATGTTGCTCGTGGCTCTCGCCCTTTTCCCCTGCCCCTGGATCCCTCCTCTACATCATCCATCCCTCCTCTATCCCTCATCCATCTCTCCGCCATCCCTCCTCCTCCTCATTTTGCTCTCATTCCTTCTCCTCACCCTCCTCTGCCTTCCAATCCTCCCCATCATTCGTCTCTTCCTTGGCTGGCCTCCTCGTCCTGCTTCGCATCAAACTTCGCCTCCTCCGCCTAGCATCCCTCATTTTATTCCTCCATCTCGTCTTCCAGTAGTTGTCTTGTTCCTCTTCCTTATCCTCCTCTCATCCTCCTCCCGCCCCTCGGCCTCCTCATAATCCCCAGCATCCTCCTCCACATCCGATTACTCTCATTATCACCCTCACCCTCGTCTTCATGTTCATCATCGTGCGCCTCCTCTTCCACTTGCCGCCCTCACTTTCATCCTTATCCTCGGTGTCATCCTCCCTCCCCTCTGGCACCACGAACCCTCTCTGGCACTGGGCTGCGACAGGGGTGGGTAAACAGAACAGGTATGTCCTGCGACGCCACGTGTCTTCTCGCGAAAGACGGGTCGAAATTACAAGTGTGCATATTGAAAGGTTGCCCCCCCCCCGTGGCCTCACCAATGTGAAGCCAGGACGTGCTCGTCGAGCGCCAGCGCGAGTTCAAGGTCCGAGGGCGACATTAAGCGGTGGACGGCGGCTGCCCGACGGGGGTTGAGATCCCAGGCACAAGGCGGGCTCGTCTCCTCGGGGCCTCGGGGTCAGCCGCAGGGGGCGCACGAAGATGATCGCGCCTCGCGGTCTGGGCCTCAAGAGTTGCTCTCCTCCCTGGGAGGGGGCGGCGGCGGCGCGAGAGCGCGAAGTCGGACGACCCGCCGTGCTCGTGGATCTCGCGGCGGCTGGCCGCAGAGCTGCCGCCGCCGCGTGGACCAGGAGTCGTCCTCCGGGCAGAGAAGGGTGGTGATGATGGCGACGAGGAGGAGGACGACCAGGAGGAGGAGGAGGAGGAGCAGGAGGAGGAGAGGGGGAGAGGGAGGAGGAGGATGAGGAGGAGGAGGAGGAGAAGGAGGAGGAGGAAGGAGGAAATGGAGCAAGTCTCCATGGGAGATTGTTGTTTTCCAGTTCTGGCTCCGCCTGGGGGGGGGCACCTGCGCGTCTGCTCGAGGACGCGCCCCATCCTACTTCTCCAGCGCAGCCGCAGGAGGAGGAGGAGGAGGAGGAGGACCAGTGGAAGCCCAAGAGTCATCAACGATGTTGGAATAAACTCTCCCTCCAAGCTCACTCTTCATAAGCCCCTACAGCGGTTCATTTCCACTGAGAGAACGGCCTCGCTGAAAGACAACCGTTTGAAGACCCTGAAACATGACAAAACAATGCTCTCGGGATTCCAATGCCACGGATAAACCTGACTGTTGCGTCTTGGCGATCTGGACTCGCACCAGAACACCATGTTTGAGATTTCAACACAGTGAATCAACGTAAGTGCTGCACCCTCATAATCCTGGATCCTTCCGAAAACACCATTTTTGGTACGCTGATCACGGGAATCCGTGAAACTCTGCTGCCATGTGGTCAAACAAATGTGCGCGGCGGTAAGGCGAGAGCAACATTTTGAAAACGGCCCGCCCTCAACCCGTGAAACTCGTGCAAATGTTTAAAACGAATGCGCGCGGCGCTAAGGCGAGAGCCACATTGTGAAAACGGCCCGGCCTCAATCCGTGAAACTCTTACAGATGTTTAAAATCGAATGCGCGCGGCGCTAAGTTGAGGGCCACATTTTGAAAACGACCCTGCTTCAATCCGTGAAAGCGGCGGTAGTTGTTTGTCATGTTTAAAGCTTCAGGGTCATAAATGGTGAGGAAGTCTAAGGGAACACGCCCGGCCCGCCTTAGAAATTGGCCTCGGGGTGCGACAGGGAGAAGTTATTTAGAAGGAACAGGAATGGAGGAGGAGGGGGGGGAGGAGGAGGAGGAGGAGGAGGAGGAGGAGGAGGAGGAGGAGGAGGAGGAGGAGGAGGAGCAGGAGGAGCAGGAGGAGCAGGAGGAGCAGGAGCAGGAGCAGGAGGAGGAGAGGGGGAGAGGGAGGAGGAGGAGGAAGGATGAGGAAGGAGGACCAGGAGTATGTCTCCATGAGAGATTGTTGGTTTCTAGTTTTGGCTCCGCCTGGGGGGCACCTGCGCGTCTGCTTGAGGACGCGCCCCATCCTACTTCTCCAGCGCAGCCGCTTGGGAGATAGAAGGTCGCTCCTCCCTCTCCCTGCTTCATCGTCGTTATCCTCCTCATTCTGCTCCTCCTTCTCGTCCTCCTTCTCCTCCTCCTCTTCTTCCTCCTCCTCCTCATCGTCGTCATCGTCATCGTTATCAACACCATCATAATCATCATCGTCAGCATCATCATCAGAAGCAGCAGCATAAGCATCAACATCATCATCATCATCATCATCATCATCATCATCATCATCATCATCATCATCACCAGCAGCATCAGCATCAGCATCGTCATCAGCATCGCCATCATCATCAGCATCAGCATCATCAGCATCATCATAGCAATCACCATTAGTGTTACCATCAGCATTACCATCAGCATCATCAGCAGCATCATCATCACCATTGTTATTGCCATCCTCATCACCATCACAATCATCATCATCATCATCATAATCATCATCATTCCAACCGCATTTGGCAGTAGAGCATGTCCCACAACCTCAGCCGCATTTCGTCGTGGCTGCAGACGCCATCAGCGGAGCTACAGGACGTGGACGAGCCGTCGCGCGAGAAGGCTGCCAGAGGTGCCCGAGGATCAGCGTCGTCGACGGCAGGCATGGGGCAAGGAAAGAGCGACTCGAGGAAGGAAGACCCCGAACTCGTGAACACGGTCGAGCTCGACGGAGATCTGATCGACACGCGGACGATGCAGAGTTCGTCCCCGTGGTGACGAAACTCATTCTCAACATTGCATTACGTCAGAGACAGCTGGAGGCCGTCGAGCTGAAGACGTTCATTATGCCCGCGGGGGCGCAGGCGGCGGTGAAGGCGCGGGCCCGCACCAAGGCGTGGATCAGAGCAGCGGAGGGACACCTGGCGTCGCTCACCAAGGCCGAAGCGGAGAAGAAGATCACGGACATGGACACGATCTCGATGGCGTGCTACGCGGGCGTGTGCGAGGGACTGGTGGCAGAAGGTACGGCGGTCGGCAGAACCAACCAGCAGCAGCTCGAGGAGTTCGGCAAGCAACAGGCCACGCTCTCGGTGAACGAAAAGAGAGGCTGCATCGATGGCGAAGCTGACCGACTGCCACGAGGAGGGTAAGGTGAAGTTGGTGCTGGCCCTCAGCAGCATGCTCAGCATGGCACCGGTGCTGGCGTCGCTGATCCAGATCGGGGCCGGCTACAAGCAGGGAGCGGTCCGAATGGGCCACACGGAGAAATTGATCCACAGTGCGTTGCCAGACTTCGTGACCATGATGGCAGAGTGAGAGCAGTCAGTGGGCAGCTTGAGCCAAGCTGCCTGCAAGCCTATCCTCGAGTCCCCCACCCCGAACTCTCTTGAGCTTCTGTCCTCTGGGCCTTCTCTCTCCTCCTCTCAACCCCCCAAGCAGGGCCAGCCAAGCTGGCGAGGCGTTTTTACCCGCTCCTTTTGCGCCCCATCGGCGACACACCCCTCCCCGCTTTCCTTTTCATATCAGCGCTAACGCTCATGATGACGCCGACGTGGATCAGAGTCCTCAGGGATACTTCGTGGGGTCTCTTCGGAGCGGGTGTTTCTGGGGGGTAATTTGGGGGCCTTTGGGGGGCCTCTTGGGGGCCTGTTTGGAGGTTTTTGGGGGCTTCCTTGGGGTTTCCCAGGCGCATCTTGGGGGTTTCTTGGGGGCTTCTTTGGGGCTTCTTGGCGCTTCCTGGGAGCCTCCCAGGCCGAGTGCTCCAAATGTCCGTTCGGGCCCCCCGTCTGGGCACTCTCTTGGAGCCATCTTCGGGGGTTTCTTCGGCCGCCTCGGAGACTTCGTGGGCCGTCATGGGGCCCTCTTGGGGCGTTTTATGGCCCTCTCGGAGGCTTCTTGGGCTATCCTGGGGCGATTTGGGGGGTATCTTAGGCCGCCCTTCAGTGTCGGGAAGCCGAAAGGCCAGAATCCCAAAGTCTACCAACAACTTTCGGAAAATCAATGGTGTTTGCCTCTTGGGGCCCTCGTGTGAGTGCTCTTGGAGGCCTCTTGGGGCGTCTTGGAAACCACTTGGGCCGTCTAGAGGCTACTTTGTCCCCATGGACCGACAGTCCGGCGATTCGGGGCCCTCTTGGACCGGGACCTGGGGCAGTTTGGGTTCGTCTTGTTCGTCTTGGGAGGACGTGGGTTTTGGGACCCCCCGGGGGGGCTCCCCTCCCCGCCTTTCTTTGTACCAGAGCTGACGATCATGCCTGGTTTGCTGAGTAGGGGCCAGGTGGTGGGTGGAGAGCCCAGAGACCGTCGTCCTGCGAGCGAAGGCCTTGCGGAACGGAAGCGCGCGAAGTCGCCGGTTACTTCGAGGGTCCCAGGGGCGCCCCCTAGACGTGGGGAGCCCAAGGGGCCCATGATTCCAGCAGTGATGAGGAGAGGCCGTGAGCCTGGAGCCTCACGGCCCTCACAGGGGTTTTTTGCACGGTGGGCTGGTGTTGATGTGAGCGCCGCTCCGCGTCTTCTGGGTGCACCGCGACAGCGGCAAGGCTCCTCTGGCTGTGAGTCGCGAAGGTTCGTGGCCACGCATCGCAAACTGACGCTCGGGTGTAGCCCGATCCGAGGGGCTGACGCTGGATGAGATTCCCCGCCTGCCCCCCATGGGTTTTGATCTGATCATCAGCAGCACCATCATCATCCCATCGTCCTCAGCATCATCATCCGCATCGCAAGCATCATCATCAGCATTATCATCATCATGACCACCGACATCACCATCATCATCATCATCATCATCATCAGCATCATCATCATCGTCATCATCATCATGGTCAGCGCCAGTTTCATCACCATCAGCATCATCATCACCATTAGCATTATCATCATCATCATCATCATCATCATCATCATCATCATCATCATCATCATCATCATCATCATCATCACCATCATCCCATCATCGTCGCCGTTGTCGTCATCGTCGTCTTTGCCGTCGTCGTCGCCACCACCACCACCATTTTCCCTTTTGCAATTTAGCATCCAGAAGATGTCGGGAACTTCCAGGCACCGCTGGGGGCACCCAGGAATGTATGGAAGATCGTTTCTCTCTCTCTCTCTCTTTCTCTCCCTCTCATCCGCTTCATGGTGGCGGGAGGCGGCATGACTTCACCGATATTCCTTCATTCTGGAAACTACTAACGCAGGACGAAAGATGTTCCTATTGAGGTGAAAATGGCTATGATGACTTCGCGAGATAGCACCGGCGCTGCCGAACGGACGGTGCCTGGACGAGCTGCGCGCAGCAACCGGTGAGAGAGATGTCTTCATGTTGAGTGGGGCCCGCGCGCGCAGAAAGTTGATTGGAGTTCGCGCGAAAGCACAGGACCCATCTTGGGAAGTTAATGACCGAACCCCCATTTCCTCCGTAGATTCTTAACACGGGCGGGTTCTGGGGTCCGTGGGTCTGATTTCTTCCGGTTCCCCGTCTTAGTTTTAAATTTTATTACGGGTAGAACAACGGATCCGACGTAAAAAAAGAGAAGATTGAACGCGGATCTAGATCATCCGAAATCGGATCCGCGCGGACGGAAATCGGATCCACCGAGACAAACCCAAACCCAAATTGGACCCGCGCGAATTTCATTAGATCCGACGGCAGTTATTTCTTACGCGTCTGTTCAAGACTCCAAACCGTCGTCCGGGCCCAAGAAGAAAAACGCTTCGTCCTGGTGATGGATTGCCCGCGGTGCGGGTGACAGGGGCTCGCCGGGAACACCCTTCGGGGCAGGGCCAGGTGGTCGCTCCGGATGGATCTTTGGCGACGAGAACGAGAGGCAGGAGGCGGATTACGTGACTTGACAGTTTTGGGAAGCCTCTCGCAGATGGTGAGATGTCCATTGGTGTTTGGTTGTTTTTTGATGCGTGTTCAAATTCTTCTGGAGTTCTGCGGGGTGGGATGGCGGCGGGGACGAGGAGGAGGAAGACGAGGAAAAGGCGGAGGAAGGGGAAGAGGATGACGATGAGGAAGAAGAGGCGATATTTCCCGGCCGAGGGGGCTTCAGCGGGGTCTTGGGGGCTCGAACAGGATCAGGAGGTGGAGTTGCAGAAGGAGCGAAAGGGCGGGAGGGGGGGGGGAAGATCGTGGTCGGGAACGCCGTCGGGAACGCCGTCGGGGGAAAGCGGGCCGGCGGAGGGGGTTTCAGGACGGGAGATGGATAAGGGGGGGAGGGGGGGACGGGGAGGGAGCCCCCCCGGTGGCCAGCGTCACGTAGTCCCCACTCCGCTGGCAAACCATGGGAGTTGTATAAGCCCTCGCAGTCCCGTCTTTAGAGTGTACTAGCATCGATTAGCGTCTGCTAATCATAGACGAAGCGCCGATTTAGAGTCGAATAGTTTCGACTTAGCGTCGACGCAGCGTCGATTAGCGTCGATCCGCAAGAGTTAACAAGATGGTCTGGGAGGCTCCCATGAGTTGCCACCGAAGCTTCATTCGTGTCTTCACGCGGATGGGAGCGTCCATTCCGTGGCTTGTCCTGGCTTTCGGCGACACTGGGCCGTCTTGGAGCCCTCTTGGCCCGTTTTGGGGCCCTCTTGGGCCCCAAGACGAGGCCCCAAAACGACGCGGGGAGACGCGGGAGAGCTCAGGGGGGCCGCGACAAGACCCAAGAGGTTCCGGAAGTTGGGCCCGAGCCCCGTAGAGACTCTTCAGGACTGAGGATTGAGGCTCCGGAGATTAGGCAAAGGACATGAGGACACGCCCACTCCGTGCCCAAGGGCAGGGTGGCGGATACAACGGGAGAATTACAATCGAAGGGCACACGATGCAGCAGGTGACGAAAACCACCTGGTTCTAATGTGTAGACACGCGGATACATAATATCTATATATATATATATGCACACACCTACCCTATATGAGAGAGAGAGCGTGCGAACGAGATTCACCGGTATGTTTTGCAGAAGGGGTCAAGTAAGGATTGGTCTAATTCCGACCACAGTTGATGCAAGTAGTAATTATCTGGCACCGGCGTCAACCATTCGAAGATCATCATTGTAGTTGCAATGGTCATGCGACCAGGTATCATGACGGAGGTGGCGAAATAGCATGCGCCGCGTCGCGCATTTCGTGAAAGTGTCGAGAAACATTGGCCAGCTTGCCTTCCTGCCGCAGCCCCACCTCACAATTCCGCATCACCGCTGGATGTGGGACCATTCTCCCCGTTGCTCGCTTGGGGATTGATGCACTGCGTCGGAGCCGTCATGAGAGTTGCGAAGATTTTGCTTGGAATAGCGCATGGTCAGACATCCAGGGCCCCGAGTGTCGTGTAGACGACAGGGTCATAGCCGCGGCATGCGTCTGTCTGTTCATGGGCCACCTGGCCGTTGGAGTGGACAGATGACCACGGTGACGGCGCTGTTTGCCCACAGCATTGCAGAGCTTCCACGATCCGCAGGTTGCGGGCGAGTCATGGGAACGCGGGCCGCTTGCCGTGCGAGTGCAGATGCCGAGAGCCCGCCTCACGCGTCCTCGTACTGCGACGGGCACAAGTCTCTGGCATACCCGCTTAGTTGTATTGCTCGCAGTGTTTGTTCTTTCCCCTAGCTTTGGTTGTGAGCTCATGCTGCCCCCCCCCCTCCCCTGGTAGGATGTGAGCATCATATTGGATAGGTGGTTCCGTTGCAAGATGGGTTTGAAGCGCATGACCAGGTCAATATGGAGCTCCTGAACGGAGCCCTGAACGATTGCGTGCAGCAGGCGCTATCGCAGCGCACCGAAGCAGACTTGGAGGAACTACATGTTTTGTTGGAAACAGATTTGGAGCAATTCAATGGGCCTCATCGCGTCTCTCCCGTCGTTCTCGTTTGATTCATGGGTGATGTCTCTTAGATTCCCTCTCTCTCTTTCACTTCTCCATTCTTTTCCCCACTCCGACTCATCCCACGTCTGCGCTTGCTACTATGACCCAGCTCACACTCAGCCCAGCCCATCCCGCCACCATGCGTGGGTAGTGGGTAGAGACGCAGTGGAAACGATCCAAGGTCACAAAGATGTCTCCTTCATCATCCTCCTTCCCGATTTCTCCCCTTCCCTCCCATATGTCTCTCTCTCTCTCTCTCTGTCTTTCTCTCTCTCTCTCTCTTTCTCTCTCTCGTTATCTCGCGCTCTCTCTCTCTCTCTCTCGTTGTCTCTGTCCTCATTCCTTTCCCTCGTTGCTCCTCTCGTCAGCATGCTCACGCATGCAACAAAGAGTTGGTGCGGGCGGCCCAATACACCCCAAAGAGGCAATCCTTAGTCGCAGACGCGGTTAAGATCGCACGGGATTTCTTTTTGTAGGGCGAACACAGGCCCAGACGTACGTGGTCAACAGTGCTGTTTTCGACTCAGATGATCCCCGTATACTGCGACACCCCGATGGCGACATCATCCGACCGATGGTTGGCGGGCTGGGGCGTCCAGCACGCGTCGACAGCGCGTAGGTGAATTCGCCGCGACACAACCGCAACCCAAAACAGTGTCGGTGGTTCGACAAGGAGCCTCATGATGAGGAGTGTCCAAACTGGAATTAAGGATTACGGAAGCAACAAGCGAGCAGGACCACATGTTGATATTGGACAAATTCCGATGTGCCAAGGGCCCTGGCAATTACCTGTCAATTTCGGCCAGGCTCCACCAGCCGCACTAGCACCGGCACCAGCTTCGCAAGTACCAGAACTTGCGCAGCCACTAGCGCGGCCGCGTGCACTTCTCCTTACAGAAATCCGGGCGATGTTGATATTACAGCAGTCGCTATTAGCTGCGACCTAACCCGAGAAGCCCTGGCGAAGCACGAGGAAGTGGCGCTGGCAGCTCTCCCGATCCGCCGCGACTGGTAGGACGAGGCTGAAGCACGGTCACGTGGAAGACTGCCTGACTGGATCCGCTTTGACGTCAAGGCAAGCAAGTTTCCAGAATTTACACACTTACAACCCAGCACTAGTCTTGAAGGAATTCCGGAAACTGCACCTACGCTGGCATCATGTTTCAGAACCGAAAATGCGCATCTTTCTGTCGAAAGTAGGTATTGCTCCCGTACGCCTCAACGCGATCGAGGGTGTATACAATTCCTGTCGTGAGCGCCGCGCTTGGGAGCAACGTGGCAACGCGGTCATGCCACCCATCAGCATGCCAGGTAGATTCGACGAAGAAGTGGAATTCTATGTTACGTTCTACAAACGGCTCGTCGTGCTCCACGTCATCGATCCGTGCATCAGGAGGGCGGCATATACGCAGGTAGCCAATAAGATGAGGCACGCCGTTCTTGACGCCTACCACCAGAGTTGGATGTAGCATGGCCCAGCTAAGATGTTAGATGCCGGCGGTGAAAGCACCCTAAACAACGACGCGGCAAAAGCCATCCGAAGAGGCACGAAGTTGCACATCCGCGCCCGAGGCCAACATGCCGCCACCATTGAAGCACGGAGCGGCACTCGCACGACACACTCTACACGTCATGGAGGAGGAGCTCAAGAGATTTGACATCCCGCTGGTATCCCCGAGACTGCTGCACAAGGGCTTGGTCGTGCGCAGTGCGTTTACATTATATAACGGCGCATCGCCATATCAAGCTCTGTACGGCCGACAGCAGGCCTGCCACCCGGATCTACGGGTGATGGATCACGAACACAGGACAGAAGCGTTCGACCACAGCCAGGCGCAGAATATTATGGAGGTGAGTATCGAGGCCACCACGCAGGCCACAGCAGCAGCAAATGTTAACGGAGCGTTACGCACCAAGACAGTGCCATCTGGGCAGCACAACTACCAACCATATGGTTTTGTAGACAATCACCGACCGACTACCTCCAAAGACAAATGGAGCGGCTGGAACGGACCGCCATGCGCATTACCCAGACCGAGGTCAGGCTGCAGGGAAGAGAGTTCCCCGAATAATTCTTGCGCAGTGCCAAGATGTACGCCATACTCTGTACTCAGAGGAAATCGTCCGCGAGTGTGGCTCCGATACGATTGCCATGAGAACAGTCTCGACCTTCATCGCGAGCTCACCTGCGGGGAGACCTGCCACGGTTTTCGGCTACCTGCCCAACGAGTTGGGACACCCGCGGACGACCACGGCGAGTAGACTCTCTCCGAATGTAATGCGGCGCCGCAGTCCCCCATCGGACACTACTTCCACAGGCTTCCCGCTGCGCCATGCGCCGAGAGCTGCGCGCTCGCATGCTGCGACGGCGACGACGTCACTCCAGGGTCCCACTGCTACGCATAGTCAGGTATAGCGTTAAGTATACACGGCCGCGTTGGATCTACCCGCGCACGAGTTATCCAACGCCGCAAGTCCTCAAGACCCTTGGCAGGCCATAGCGGAGACCTGTCCACATGCGAGGACCTGGCGGACACGCCCCATCGGGCGGCCACGCTCAGGAGGCGCAGGCGCGAGCGCCTTAGGCTGCTGACGACAGTCGTCCTCCGACAAACCTTGAGAAACCAGGGGCAGATCTCAATGCGCACATCCTGGGAGCATTGCGTGCTGAACTTCAAGGGAAAGAGAATCTCCCGGCAGAAACTCCTGTCGAATCCCGAAATACAGCACCGACCGACGTAACTAGCGGGAACTGCACGCTTGCGACGGCGGCCAGCGACGGGCAAGGGTGCTGCCAGAAACAAGAGCGCTGCCAGGGCGACGTCGAGGAGGCGCACCTCGCCCTCGCACCACATCTGAACGCGACGAGTCCTATGGCTTGGACTCGGACGAACACGGCCAGCGCGTAGAGACTTGTTTCTTTACCGAGATGTATAGTTGTCTTGGCGGCGCAAAAACGCATATTATTCCGTGGCGGCCAGGTGGCCGCCATGCGCGCGCGCATCGGCTGCGCCCACATGGACCGTCGCCACCATGGAAGACGACCTTCTCACGAAGGCCGAAGCAGAGGCAAACCATGTGAAGGCTTCCAAAGCTCTGCGCGCTGAACTATAGGCTTGGCCGGACAACAACTGATGCAAAATGCAGGACATCGGAAACGCGTCTAACACAGACGCCCCGATACGTGCACACATAGAAATTCGCAAAGAGGGAGGGTGGCGAGATGGGGCGCGCCATCAGATGACGCCCGGTCTCTCGCGGCCCCGTGGGCGCGGCGGCGTTGGACGCGGAGACCTCCTCGGGCGCGTCTCGGCGGGCCCAGGCGACGACTGCGCGCCGGCGCGGCCGCGCGCGAGCGACCCCATATATTCGCGCTCATGGACATAGACGAGGCAGTCTTGAAGGACGTTTTAAATTGCTACTTGGTTCAGCTGCGGCGCCACGAACGCCGCTTTGCACGGCGCTCAAAGCCGGGGGCGGGCGCCAGAAATGCCCCGCGGGGCATTCTCGCCGACTTCCAAGATCATCGCAGGAGGCCCCGGGCTCAGACCAACGGGGCGCAACGAGGTATTCGAGACGAGCCTATGCCCCTTCACCCCCCAAACACGAAGACGACGCAGACATGGCTGAAGTCGGGGGCGCGACTGACAAACGCGCCAAGCGTAGAAAGCACGTTCGGAGCTTGCACGCCCGACCAGCATTGCTGAACAAACTGCGCCGCGCGCTGCGCCCAGACCAAGAGCGGCCGCGCCCAGCTCGCCCAATAGGGCAGGGATACATCAGGCAATGTCGCCGTTTAGCGGCGCCCAGAATTTACTGGAGCTGCAGCAGAAGGGAAGCCGACGAAAACGACGTCAGATCTGCTCGTCAGCCTGCGCGGTGCGTCAGCATGCGCCGGAGTTGCCCGAGCGCGGCTAAACGGCGCACGCGGCCTCTCTACAACGCGCCCAAGAACCGACCAACATACTAGTGCGTCGACTCAACGCCGCAATGCCTCAGCGCGCAAACTACAGCAAGGCCCAGGGACATCATGCACCAGGTGGCGACTCCGACAGGAGACTTGGGCCTACATAGCGACTCAGGTTACCGCCGCCTCAGCGGCGAGGCCGACGACGAAGCGAAGGGCGCGGCGCCCGAGGTGCCCACCCACCACTGCGCCGTCACACGCACAGCGGAAGGGCAGTTGCGGAGACGACAGATGCGCAATGCAAATAACATCGGCCACATGTACGATCGAGCTACTCCGTTGGAGCTCCAGTAGTTCACAACTTGGAGGACTGCTACCCGACCATCGTCGCGCTACACAAGCTGAATGTTGGACCACTTACCCCAATGCAACTCAAGATCATCCTACCGCCATGTGGTTTGCGCATCAAGGCAACAGTCACAGTCGACGCCGAGTTGGCTTTCAAGTCTTTATCCAGCAAGGACATTCAGAACCCATTCGATGGCACCCTACGGGGCCACATCAGTTGGACTCGGCAGATGATGGAGAAGGCGTCGCGCACAGCGTAGAGTGGTGCGACAAACGTGACATGACGGCCTACAGACACCAGAGGCTGCACCGACCGTAAATTACTCCTGCGGGCGATGGCAGGGACGCAGTCATTCAGGTAGGAGGCGCAGCGGCATGCGCCGCACAGAGGAAACAAGGCAACATCTTCCGAGCCTGGCCCACATTGGGCCGGTGGATAAGAGGCGAGTGCAGGCGCCTGCTGCCTGGTCACGGGCAAAACGCTCGCCGTTGCCCAGTCACGGGTATCACCGCTTCTGCATTGCAAGATTTGGTGTCCGATAGCTTTTAGGACGCGCTCTAATAATTTGATTCTGGCCTGCAGTTGACGCGGCGGGCGCGCCCACTTCTGCGCGCGCTGCTGCGTCAGCCTGCTCTGAGATTTCCCGCGTCGAGCCCTTTCGCGGCAGTCAGCGTTGAAATTTGCCGGCGGCCTTCTCGCCGACGCAGAACAGTTTCCCGCTATACATATACATATATATATATATACACATACGTATCCTCTTTCAAGCTACTAAGCAACAGCCAACTACTAGGGCGCCCTACCAGCATTCCGGTTCATCCTCTCTGATTCGCAAAGCCCTACACTTGGGGCCCGGAGGATTGGACTGATTTTGCCACCCAGAGTCTCGCGTCGCGCGCGCCTCCACATCTGCGCTGGTGGCCTGGGCAAGCAAGACCAATTTCCAGCCTGTAGTCCAATGGTTCACTGTGAGTGCCCTGTTGTCCATTTCGACTGGCCGACCTGCCCCGCCGTCAACTGCGGCGACGCCATCAAGCAGGAGCCCGTCCGTGTCTCGTTCGGCGGCTTCTCGGTCTGGCTCGTCTTCCTGTTCGTTGGGGTTAATTTTGGTCGCCTACCCCTTGCTGAGGACCGCCGGGGCGCAGCCGCGTCGACAGAACAAACAAAGGCGGTCGAGTACCCGGGCGTCGAGATTGAGGCCGCGGCAGAGCAGGCCCGCCAGCAGCTCGAGGCGGCGGCCTTGAAGAGACGCGCGGCGACGGCAAGTCGCCGCGGCCCTGAGTCGCATTCATGGCGCTCGCGGCCTCCAGCCCGGGCGTCTACGCCACCCTGGCCCCGGACGACGACGACTCCGAGGAGGACGCAAGCGCCGCGGCCGACATCGTCGAGGCCGCGCGGCTTCCCCATGGGGCGCAGGGCGGCCCGCCCCTTTTCATCGCGGGCGCGGCCGCCCTGGCCCCAGAGCATCTGTTCCGAGCGCTGCCGCTGCCGGGGCGAACGGTGGCGCAGTTCAAGAGCAAAAGCAGGAGCCTAGACGAGATCCAGAAAAAAGGGCGGCGGGCGTCAGAGGCGCCCTTTCGGCGCTACACCAGAGGCGGCAGTATTGCCGAGCAGATGCGACGCCCGCCGGTCTCCGAGCAGCGTCGCGCCGCCCACCTGGAGGCGACCATTGGCGGTCGCATCTCTCTCATCTCGCACAGCATGTGGAACGCAGCGGGCAGTCAGCATGATTAGAAGTGTTATCTGGCACAGGCAACCTGTCCCTACGCTGGAGGCGAGTGACCCGCGGTAGTAATGCAGCGATCGAGATAGACATCAAACGTAAGGACCGGTCAGACCTGTTGCGTCGCCAGTTCCAGCAGCAATTTCGGGGCTGGTTTCGATCAGGATTGATCGCAGCGCTGTGGATTGGTACTCCTTGTCAATCGATTTCGCTTGCGCGTGACCGACCCAATGGGCCTCCCCCTTCTGAGGGACAGCTCTCACCCTAAAGGCCTCCCAAACCGTCGCCCTGCGGATGCCCTGGATGTCTTGCAAGGAAACCGTCTTTACACATTCAGTTTTTAGTTTTTTGGAGTTGGCGCTGTCCATTGGGCTCTCCGCGGGCTTGGAAAGCCCTGGCTCCTCTTGTCTTTGGAAACGACCCGTGGCCATTAGAGTGGGGCAACGTCTTGGGGTGCAGCGCCTAACTGTAGACTTCTATGATTTCGGGGCCCCGTGGCGCAAGCGCACGGCCATCCTTTTCGCTAACGCTGATTTGTCGTGTTTGCGTCCGTTCCGCTGCAATGGTGAGGGAATGTGCGTTTTCTCGGGTAGGGTTCACACCGAGCTGGCTGGCAAAGATAGCTCGGGTAAACTTTTCACGGCTATAGCAGCAACCTACACAGCCTGTCTGTGTGTGCACATCGCCCGCATTTGTTTGAATGCCCATCGCAACCACATGATTCGAGGGATGATGTCAAAAGTGGCCCCTCGACAAGAGCCGAGTCACCCGAGTGCAGTTTCGGAAGTCTCCGATTTTGTGGTGGAGTGTTTTGTGTCTTGTGCCTGCCTCGTTATGACCAGAGCTCTGGGCGCCAGTAAGCACACAGATCAAGCCTCGAGGTCTGGCCGCTGGAAAAAGAGAGGCCTCGGAAGACCCAGATGTCCATATGTACACCTCAGCTTTTTTCTACTGGTACAGTAATCTTCCTGCCTCCCTCATTCACTCTCACTTTCCTGTTCCCTCCGTCCTGAAATGCTTGCCTCCGTCCCTCCGTCGCTCGTTCCCTTGTTGGCTCGGGCGCCGCAGTTCACTCTATGAGCGGCCCCTCTCCCAAATTACCGCCGAGAGCGCCTTCGAGCTCGTGGCGATACTGCCGCATGCCGCATGCCAGACCATTTGGCGTGCGACGACGGAAAAAACATTGGCCCGGTGGAATAGGGGGGAATTCGATGCGTTTCGAAAAGGGGTCGTCTTCAGGGAATCGAGGACTTGGCTTTCTGCCATGGGCGGAAACCGACGGAAGACCAGCGGAAGCAGAACGAGCGTGTTCTTGATGACGGAAGTTTTGCTGAAGGTGGCGGAAATGAAACCAGACGCCCCAAGAGAGATCAACGCCAACCAATTTGGCATAGCGGTGCAAGCGGGCAAGGGTTCACGCAATAGGGGCACCTTGCATGTCATGGAAAATCACCCCGCGGAGGCAGAGAAGTTCCCCGCATTGCCAGTACGGTGATTGTTGAGGTTCCCCCAGGGCACTAAGCAGTGTGTTGGAAGTAGCGGCCTGGAATGAGACGACCCCTCATCCGCACCCATTTAAAAGCGAAGCTGGTCTACATACACCACACATAGTCAAGTTCATTGCAATGTTGACGGCCAATTCCGAATCCTGCAGATACGCGCGATCTTCTTCCATCTGTTCAAGAGGCTTACGCCATTCCGCCGACCCCCAGAAGAGGCGTGGATTCCAGGGTTGAGGCGTCGTGGGCTACGCGCGATCCTCTTCCATTTACAGTTCCCCCTCACCGTCCTCACCGTCTTCCGCCACGTCCTCGTCATCCCTCACCTTCTTCTCTTCACATTCCCGCCTCAAGGACTTGGAGAGGCGGGACTATTCAAAGATGGACAACCCTTCATTATTGCGTTTCTTGGTCGATATGCAGGGCGCTCAGTGGATTTGAGAGTGTTTGCCACGGGCTGATCGGACAGGTTGGGCGCCACGTTGCATCCCCTTCCCACTTCGCTTTGGCTTGCCTTCTTCACAACAGAACCATCGCTTGGGAAAGCCGTTCGCGTAATTTGAGTTGAGAGGTTCGTGCGGTCTGTTACGATCATGCCGAGAGGGTCCGCCAGTCGTCACACCAGCTGAGACAGCCTCGACTAGATTGTGAGGGCATCCCAGGAGGTTCTCCAGGGAGCCAGGTGCTAGCGATCTAACCTTTGGTCTCATATTGCGATAGCATTTCTGGCATGCCGCTCATTGTCTCGAGATCGTTCCGTTGAGACATGTTCTGCATAGCCCCCTCTCCTCTCCATCGCTCCTTGCCGATCCCGCTGCTCTAAGCAGACAGCTCAGGAAGGGCGAGGAGACGTCAGGCAAGCAGCTCCGCCACTCCCTCAGCGTCTATTGTTCTTGCTCGGCCCTGCGGTCAACCGACCACCGCCGCCGTCGGCATCCTCTTCGCTCGGTGGGATCGTTGGGCGACCAGCGGCATCCACCAGCTCAGTCAGTGGGGAGGGGGGGGAGGAGCACGACGAGGAGGAGTAGGGAGTATTTTGACGATCAGGCCCCTTGGGGCGCTGCCGTCGGCACGGCTGGAGTCCCCCCTGCGAACTCTGGCCAGGATGCACTCAAGGAGAAGTCTTGTGAGGGGCGGGAACGAAGTGGGCGCCGTCTTCGTCCCACCTCTTCTCCTCCCTTCCCTCGCCGGCGGGAGTGGGGGGGAAGATCCCAGTCCTCCAAGTGCCGCCAACAAGAATCACGCCGCACGTCCTTGCTCGCGATCTCGGTGGCCCACGTCGTAAAAAGAGCGACGGCGCTTGGGGCCTGGAGAGGTGCAGAGGGTGGAGGTGGAGGGGAAGGGTCTGGGGGGAGGGGGGGAATGAGGTGGGGAAGTGGATGGGGGGAGGAGGTGAGAGGGTGGAGGGGAAGGGGAAGGGGGGGGGGGTAGGCGGAGGCGGAGGAGGATCGATTCGGTGGCCCTCGAGGGCGCATGTCAAGCTCGGAGCTGCCAGGCGCGTGCCGCGCACCATGGAAGTAACAGTCGAGAGGAGGAGGAGGAGGAGGAGGAGGAGGAGGAGGAGGAGGAGGAGGAGGAGGAGGAGGAGGAGGAGGAGGAGAGGAGGAGGGGGGGGAGGAGCAGAAGGAGGAGGAGGAGGAGGAGAGGAGGAGGAGGAAAGAAGAGAAGGAGGAGAAGGAGGGAGCGGGAGGAGGAGGGTGCAGGGTGGAGGAGGGAGGAGGGAGGAGGGAGGAGGGAGGAGGGAGGAAGGAGGATTTGGAGGAGGAGGTGAAGGAGGGAGGAGGAGGAGGAGGAGGAGGAGGAGAGGAGGAGGAGGAGGAGGAGGAGGAGGAGGAGGAGGGAGGAGGAGGAGGAGGAGGAGGAGGAGGAGGAGGAGGAGGAGGAGGAGGAGGAGGAGGAGGAGGAGGAGGAGGAGGAGGGAAGAAGGAGAGGAGGAGGGAAGAAGGAGGAGGACGGGACGAAGACAAGGCGGAGGAAAAGGAGGAGGAGGAGGAGGAGGACGACGACAACGTCGCGGAGGAGAGGCGCCCAGGCTTCAGACTGTTTCGTGGCGCATGCCCCTGTAGGCCTCTCGACACCATTACGTTGAGGACCAGACTTTCATCCCAGGAATTTGTTTGGTGGCCAGTGGGGCCCAGCACCAGCTTTTGCATGCAGGTCAAAGCGGAGAAACCTAAGGCCGCCTCGATATAATATATGCATTCATACATTACATGGCATGATGTGGCATGGCATGACATGATATTGCATTACATGCCCCACACTACAGTACACACATGTATACATGCATGCATGCTGCATGCATACATGCACACATATATATATATGTATCTATATATATATGTATATATGTGTGTATGTACGTATGCATGCATACACTGACACAGTCATACCTGCATATATGCATCCACTCATGCATGCATGAATACATGCATACACACATGCGCACCTACATATGTGTCGATGTACACATACATACATACATACATACATACATGCATGCATGCATGCATGCATGCATGCATACATACATACATATATGCATGCATACCTGCATAACTGCATGCATACATGCATACATGCATACATGCATACATGCATACATACGTATATGCATACATGTATACATACATACATCTATGCATACTGAGTTACATACATGCATACATACCGACATGCATACATACATACAAGCACATATGCGCGCATGCATACGTATATACATACACACATGCGCGCATGCACGCATGCATGCACACATACACGCATACATCAATGCGTACATGCATATGTGCATGCATACATGCCTGCACGCATGCATGTGTGCATGCGTACGTACGTGCGCACGTGCATCCATACATACACATCGACCTACACACATACATACAGACATACATGCATGCATGCATGCGTGCATGCATGCAGACATGTTTACATACAAACGAATATGCATGCATGCATGCATGCATGCATGCATGCATGCATGCATGCATATGTACCTACCTACCGACCTACCCACCTACCTACCTACCTACCTACATTCCTACATACCTACCTGTCTACCTACCTACATCCCGACCTACAGACCTACATGCGTACATACATCAAGGCATGCATGCATACATACATGTACCTAGCAATGTATACACACGCATGCATAAATGCATACATATATACATACATACGTACATACATGCATACATACACACATACATATATACATACATACATACATACATACATACATACATACATACATACATACATACATACATACATACATAGATACATGCATGCATGCATGCATGCATACATACATACATGCATGCATGCATGCATGCATACATACATACATACATACATGCATACACACATGCATACAGACATGCATACAAACATGTCGCATGGACGGCGGGAGTCCGTGGAGGGGCAGGAGGAGGGACGCCGAGGCTACGGGTCTTCTCTGGATCCCAGGCTCCCGCACCCCAGCGCCCCTCAGCGAAGCAGCGTGGTGTGAGCAAGTAAGCCGCTCCAAGTCCGCGCATCAGTGGACGCCTCGCCCCCCCCCCATCCGCCCTTTGCGTATCGCACGGGCCACGCTCTCCCCAGAGATCTGGCGTAGCGGAAAGATAGAGGCGGCATGTTTTGTTGAGCGTGACTTCTGTAGGCCAAGCTCGGGCTTTGGGACATTCGAGTTGCTACTTGGGGAAAAATCCGGCCCTGGGAACGGGGTCGAGGGTTGTAGGGGCCCAGGTCGAGGAATGTGACGTAGGAGGGTTGGGTCTTCCCTGCATTTGGAAGGGTTCGATGATTGTTTTTGAGGCTATTGAACCGCTCATCACTTCGAACGCTGAGGGGCGCTTCTCGGTTCAGAGGCATTTGGGAGCCTAGAACAAAGCTGACGCGGCCGCCACCAAGCAAACAGAGGCTATGGCCTCTTTAGGCATGCGTTGCATACCTGAAGGTGTCCTCATGATCCTCCTCCTCCTAATCCTCCTCGAGTTCGACGACTTGCTGTATCGAAACGCCTGCCTCTGTGCTCGAGGCGCTCGCATCGCAACCGTTTGACTCCATCGTTGGACGTCCTTGCCCGTTTTTGCATCGAGCGTGGATGCCCCAAATGCTGCCTCTGTCGGGCCCCCTCCTCCGTTCACCCCTCCTCCCTGGCATTGTTCAGGGGAGACCCCTCGCCCGTTGCGTGCGTCGTGCAGGCCCCGAATTGTCGGAAGTTGGAGGCCGGCTTTTGTTCTAACACTAAGCCGACGATATGTCGTCCAGAACAATCGACCAGAAGGTCGTCCAGAACAGTCGACCAGAAGGCTTGGAGGTCGTCCAGATTAGTCGACCACTAAGGCGACGATATGATCACAATGCTGATCGCCGGGCACGAGACGACTGCCTCTGCGCTCACGTGGGCGCTCTTCGAGCTGGCGCAGCAGCCAGAGCTCCTGGAGGAGGTGCAGAGCGAGATCGACGGTGTGATGGAGGGCAAGGCTCGGATCGCCCACCCCAGTGTTGCCTCAACTCCTACGTGTGTGTTTCAGATGGAGTCGAGGCGTGGCCACCAACTTCCTGTACGTTCGTACCGACTGTTGCCGGCATCGTAGCCTTATGCTCGCATATATGTAGGGTCTTTAGGCGCCTCGACTCCAGCGAATACCTCCTCTTAGCGAATGGAAGTTCACGTCGCCACTGCGCCGCATTGTTATTCGATTGTTTCTCTACGTAGGTACCTGCGGGAGTTGCTATCTTGGGTGAGCGACAGTGACCTGACAGCGGCTGGGTAGTGATCATACTTTCGGTGGGCATTGGGGTCTTGGCTCGAGCCTATAGATGTTGGCTTGTCACGTACTTAGAGTGCATTGCAGAATCGGAGAAACTAACCAATCATGCCAAACTCTTGGCACATGACGCAGGGCGCCACCTCCTCCACGCCATCTGTGTGTTCCATCGCTACAATCTGGAAGCTCGTATCGCCTGTCCGTCGTAGTAGAAAGATTGAGCAGTCCTCCCTCTCCATCCTCCTCGTCCCTCTAATCCTCCTCCCCGTCGTCACCTTTCTCCTTTGCTGCGGTCCCCCTGCATCCCAGAGGAGGAGGAGGAGGAGGAGGAGGAGGAGGAGGACAATTGCGTCGACGATGCGGGGGACGGGGGAGACAGGTGGTGGGGGGGGTGCGGAGGGGTAGGGTGAGGAGGAGTAGGAGGAGGAGGAGGAGGAGGAGGAGGTGGAGGCGGACGAGGAGGAGGAGGAGGATGAGGAGGGGGAGGGCAGGAGGATGGGAGGTGGAGGATGAGGAGAAGGAGAGACGGCGCGGCTATCAGCCATCCTTGGTTCTGAATATCGGTGGCACCAGCTCAGGAGTGCCCTGATATGGAGGACATCAAAGCCATGCCGCTTCTGCGCCTCTGCTTCGCAGAGTCGCTGCGCATGTACCCCGAGCCGCCGTTGCTGATACGCCGCGCCATGGAGGAGGATACGCTCCCTGGAGGGGCCACTGGCCAGGACTCGGCTCTGGAAGTGCCACGGCATCTCAGTCATACCGTCTCATTGTGCATCTTATCAATGTGCCCTCAACGCCGAACGAATTGCGCGCTTTTAGCTGACTCATAGCGTTCCGCAATGTGGCCAGCTCCTTGCAGTCTTGGTTCAATTGATTTGTCTTTGTTCAGCAGCAACTGTTTTCCTTGTGAGGAATCGTCACCACAAAGTGCGGTCGTTACAACTTGAACGCAAGGTTGGTTGCGCACCCCCGCCTCGCGTTCAGTATAGTGCGCACGACAGCGCAGTATAGGAGAAGAGAAAGAGAGAGAAAGAGAGAGAGAGAGAGAGAAAGAGCGAGAGCGAGAGAGAGACAGAGAGAGTGAGTCCCCATTCAGCGCTTACACTGAAGGTGTCCTTGCGGATATTCCTTTATCGGTGTTGGCACTCAAGGGGTCCTTGCGGTAATTCCTCAATCAGTGTTTGCAGCGAAGAGGACGTAAAAAGAATTTGACGAATTGGCGACAGTACCAGGCCAAGTTCGATAGTCGGTCAGGTTCCCGAATTCTGATTCCGGCGACAGCCGAGACAGTTTCGGTGGGCGGCAGGATTCCAGGTGTTTTGGCTCCTTCGTTCCAGGTTGCCGTTTTCTTGTCTTATTGGTTACGGTGAAGTCCTCAGGTTTGGGCGAGCACGGGCGGAAGAAAGAGGAAAGATCAAAGAGCGTACAGAGAAGTTGAAGAGTTTACAGTTTGAAAGTACGAGGTTTTGAAGAGCGTATAAAGTGCAAGCAATTGAAGAGCGTATCAAGTAGTGCGAGGCTTTGAAGAGCGTGCAGACTTGAAAGTAGATTGAGCGGAAAGAGTCGAGAGAGTTGAGAGAGTAATAAGAGTCAAGAGCGTTAAGGGATAAAGAGAGAGGGGGGGACAGGGAGAGATACAGACAGAAAGAGAGGGAGAGACAGAAATAGGGGATAAAGAGAAAGAGAGAGAGAGAGCGTGTGCATACATATATATATATGTACACCATACATAAACACATACATACGTACATACAGGTATGCAGTTGTTTATACGCATAGTTACATACATGTATACATACATACACACATGCTTGCATGCATATACGTATATGCATGCACATGTGTATACATACCTGCATGCATGTATACATACATACATGCATGCATGCATGCATGCATGCATGCATGCATACATACGTGCCGACCTATCTACCTATATACTTATCCACCTACTTACATGCATACATATAGACATATAGAGAGATAGTGGCACTCGACCTATTCACCGTGCCTGGGTTGTGGGTTAGAGGTATCTTGGATGTTTGTTTGAATATCGTGGGAGGCCTCTCGGAGGCCTCTTGGAGGCAGTTTTGAAGCCTCTTGTGGGGCCGTTTGGGGGCATCTTTGGGGGCCTCTTGGGGGCCTCGCCTCGTGGAGCCTCTAGGGGCCTCTTGGGCTCTCTTCGGGGCCTCCTGGGGCCTTTTGGGGCGGAAGGCTCGAATTGTCGGTTCGTGTTCCCCTCTTGGGGCCGTCTTGGGGCCCTTTTGGGCGATCTTGGGCGCCTTTTGGGCCGTTTTGGGGCCCTCGGGGACCTTCTTGTGGCCCTGTTGGGGGCCTCAAGGCAGTCTTGGGGCGGTCTTGGGGGCCTTGGGGGCCATCTCGGAGAGTCCGAAGCCCGAAAACGCGAGAACACGAAACATATGGAAACATCGAAGGAAAACCAATGAATGTTGCCGAGCGCTCTTGGTGCTTCTTTGGGGCCTCTTGGGCCGCCTTGGGGCCATCTTAGGCGTCTTGGAGCGCTGTTGGGCTGTCTTGGAGGAGGCCTCTTGGACCCTCTTGGGCGCATTCTGGGGCCCTCTTGGCCCGTCTTGGAGCCCTCTGGCCTTTAGAAAAGTCACGCGAGTCAGCCCAAGAACGCGCGGGAACGCACGGGAAATTTGAGAGTGTGGGGCCCCCATCCCATAAAGTATTATAATCCCAGAGTCTTGAGCACAGAGAACAAAGGACACATGAGAGGCTTGAGTCTTCGCGCCTGACGGCACGAAGGCAAATGTATGAATGCATATTTTTGCATATATACATTCTATGGGTTTATGTGTATATATATGTATATATGTGTGTATATGTACACACATACTTATCCATACATTGGAAGCCCGGATAGACGTACTGCAGCATTGCGCATCGCGGTTCGCAGCTTACCGCGCATTACCAACGACGCCGACAAGGCCGTGGCAGTTCCATGGCAGTGCAGGTACCAGGATGAGACGAGTCTAGTTATCCAGATAGTTTCCGGATGCAAGCATTTAGGCGGCGTGGCGTCGAGCACCGGGCAGGCTTTGCCTGAAAGCCGCGCTCGGGCCAATTCCGCTCCTATGGCCCTCTGTCGCTGCGCGCGTTTGGGAATGAGGCTCTAGACGCTGAGGAACGCCTCGGCCTTGCCCCTTCGCTGATTTTCTCACGCCTCCTGTTCAAGTGTCACGTCCCCGTCTTCCTCTCTACCTGCGCTGAGAATTTTCAGCGCTCCTTACATGAGAGTATTGCGACGCATTTTCGGCCAGTGCCGGCATGGCCCTGCCGACTCGGACTATATTGTTCGAGTTGCCCAAAAGCAATCATCTTTTGATTGCATTCTAAGAAGCGCTTGGTCTATTTTGCCTGGGCTGCTCAGCAGCGCGAGTTTTGTCTGGCAAGCGGCATTTGCCAAGCATGCGGCACCCAGTTCCAGACTCGCCTCCGCTGCCTCGCCCACCTCTGCGACACCCGTCGCACAGCGTGATAGTCTCAGATCTGCGCCCGCCCTGAAAGTTTCACCAAGCTCTCGGCCACTGACTGCGCTCTCCTGGACGAGTAGGACGAACTGCTCCGGCGTGAGACTCAGCGATCCGGCTGGTCTTACGTATTTGTGGTTGGCTAGGCTTGCACCGCTGCCGGCAGAGCAGCTGGTTGCGCCAGGTGTTGAGATGTCTCCGCGATGCCTCCGCCTATTATTGCTGCCCTCTGTCGTGTGCAGTTGTCAAGCTGACATTGGTGCCGCTGCCACTTCACGGGTTCACTTGCGACGGATTTGATCTAACCCTCGAGGAAGATATGTCTCTATGTATGTACATATATATATATATATATATGTGTGGAGTGTGTCTTTAGTTGCTGCGCGCACGCTGAACAACATGTGTGGGCGTTGTATGCGACGCCTCGTTGGCGCCTGTCGCTACGGAGTCTGACATTGCAGTTCGGAGAATGATCAAGGCCCCGTCGCTGGATTTTATCACTCGGCGCAAGCGGCTGGCCAAATCTTTGTCGCTTGGTGCGTCAGGGACCAACTTGGCTTCATTTCCTCCTCTCCCACTGCCCTCCTCTGCCTCGCCTTCCTTTGGCCCAGGCGGTTGTTGAGGACCTTCAGTGTTTGTGGACTATGTCAGCACTGGTCTTGCATGCTAGATCCAGGAGTGCGTTTGTCGGCTTGCGTGCAATCTATAATTAAATCTTCCGCCAGGCGGTCCAACGATGTCAATTGCATTTACTTTGCCAAGTCCGTGTGCGACCTCGGTACACCTGCCAGAGCATCTTGCGGGGCCAACGTTGCCTCCTTCAAGTGTGAGCAGTGGGATTGAGCGTTTGCTACCAGCAAGACGTTCCGTTCGCATGCCCGTGCGAAGCACAGTGTGAAGGCTTCACAGCGCGTATTCTGCTTAGCGGATAGTGTGTGTCAAGTTTGCGGCACGCATTTCCGGTCCAGTTGCGCCTATTGGCTCATTTTTGCGATGATCGGCGCACGCGGTGCTGGGACGCTATGTGCGCCGCACCTGAAAAGTTGATCCGTTTGTTTGCGGATGAGTATACTTTCTTCGATTGTACAGATAATGTGCAACGACGGAATGCCAGGCGAGCTGGTCATTCGCATGCCCAGGCCGTTGGCCAGGCAACCACTGCTGATGGCAAGGCCGTAGGTTGTGCCAAACGCTAGTGCTGCATCCGGGTCTGATGTATGTCGTTGCCCAGCTCGTTGTACAGTCACTTGGGCATTACAGGGGATCTTTTTGGCTACGTTCGTCTTTCGACGCATGCGTCTTTGTGCATTGACTCTTTCTCACTTGCGGCGATGTCGGTCCGATCCTGGAGGAGTAAATGGAAATTTGCATGCATGCATATATATATATATGTATATATACATATATATATATATGTATACATTCATCTACATATATATATATAAATATACATAGACATAGACACAGACACACATATATATATACACACATACAGATGCAGAACGCAGACATGGTCATGGACATACATATATATATATATACATACGTACAAACATACATACATACATACATGCATATACATACATATATATATATACATACATATATATACAAACATACAAAAATATGTTCTAATGGCCTTCGGCCCATCCCGCCACCGTGCTCTGGTTGTGGGTATGACGCCTATTGGATGTCCGTTGGGATCTCGTGGGAGGCCTATTGGAGGCCGTTTGGAGGCCTCTTGGGTGCCGTTCTGGGGCCTCTTTTGGGCATGTTGGAGGCCTCTTGGGGTCTCTTGGGGGCCTCTTGAGGGCCTCTTGGGGCCTCCTGGGCCCCTCTGGGGGCCTCCTAGAGGCTTCTCGGGGCGAAAGGCTCGGAGTTTCGGTTCCTGTTCCCTCTCTTGGGCCCTGTTTGGGGCCCTCCTGTGCCGTCTTGGGCGCCTCTTGGGCCGTCTTGGGGCCCTCTTGGGCCGTTTTGGGACCCTCTTGGAGGCCTTTTGGGTCGTCTGGGGGCGATCTTGGGGGCCTCGTGGGCCGTCTTGGGGCGTCGGAAAGGCGAAAAATTATAATGTTTGCCTCTTGGGGCCCTCTTAGGGGGCCTCTTGGGGCGTCTTGAAGGCCTCTTTGGCCGTCTGGGGGCCATCTCGAGCGTCTTGGAGGGAGCGCTCGGCGACTCGGGGCCCTCTTGGACCGTCTTCGGGGCCTCTGGAAGCTCTATTGGCCCGTCTT